GCGCCAAATTGTTTGGCTCAAAAGTTAACAATATACTTTGTAAGCTAGAAAACAATCAAAAGTAAGAAAAGGGTAAATCGTAATCAAATATAATAAACCTAGAGATGCAGAGATGATATTATTGTGGTAGATCTAGTATTGCAAAGTGATAATATGAACTCAGTAAGATATGTTCGTTTGAGGTAAAGATAGAGAGAGAAAGCCAGAAAATGAGAGAGTTGTATTAGATCCGAATCCCCCTTTTACAATGTGAAGGTCTCCTTTATATAATAAGAGACCTTCCTCTAAAGAATCAAAAAGTTACAAAGACAGGTAACGTCTCCCTAGTGAAGACACTGAGTCCTAAACGATGTCGCTTTTGTCCCCACGTCCGAGTCGTACCCGCTACGTTAGTCGGCGTACACTCACTGGGCGTACCCACTGGCGTAGAGATGCTGAGGGTCAAATTTGACCCTATACAACCCCGTTAAAGGTAAAATAAGAATTTTAAAGTTAGAAAAATGCCACTATATTTTGGAACAATCTAAAAAAAACTGTCAAATAAATTGGAACAGAGGGAATATTAATTTGCTATGACTAAGTGATAAATTAACGTGAAAGTACAAATTAATAACCGTGTTTAACTGTAACATTTATTTGATTTGGTGCGAATATCGCATATAAGTAAATCTTTTCCATTTAGCAATATATGAATGGTCGTAGGGTTTAAATTAATTACGCTTTTAAGAATAATATTTGAATATCTAACCACTATACGGACTTTCACATAAACATAATAAAAGAATATCAGTGCCTTGATTTTTGAAATAAAAACAATAATTTTTAAAAAGTTTCTCTAAATCAAATATTTTGAACTAAAATTCGTAAACTGTTTTAAAGATTCACAATATAAAAGTGATTTAACTCTTTAATAATTGTATCATTCTAATTTAAATATTTATTAATGAAATATTGTTTGGTACATATTGTTGAATTGGAGGTTGTGAAAATCACTGGCCGTCTTTCCAAGATTCTGATAGTAGGGGTCATCAGATAAATAGGAAAACATCATTTTTTATTTTTAACTTATAAAAAGCTATAAGGGCAAACCCCACACACCCTTAAGCTGACTAACCAGAAGAGGAAATGATGGGTTGGAGGGGGGTGGGGCAAAGCAAGTTGTTAGCATAGGAAGAGTAACAAAAAATCTTGCAAAATAAAACTATGTTCATCAAAGCTTTGTAATGTTTGTATGATGAAATGTTTTTATATCAACACAAAATTCGGATATATGAGTATAATGGTGCAACAAAGAAATTAAGTTACCACAAACTAACATATTAAATCAAGTTGTACCTAAAAAAAAAAAACTATTTTCAGCAATATTTTATAGACAATTCCACTCTACGAATGGACTATGGTAGAGTGCATCGTAAGTGATCACGGCCTCACGTATAATATCGCGCGCGCAGGGGCTTAATTGTGATGACTCGATAGGTCATTTTGGGTTCTAGCTCTTATTTCCATATTTCGAGACCTCAATTAGCTCCGTAGTATTTTTAGATTTGCGTGCGTAGTCCGTGTCTTTTTCCGAAAAGATTTTATGTGAAAAATTGAAGAAAACATGAATTTTAGCTTTAAAATGACTTGAGTTGACAACGGTCAATATTTTGTGTAAACAACCCCGGATCGGTATTTTGACGATCCAAGTGGGTCCGTATCGTGATTTTGGACTTGACCGTATGCCAGAAATTGAATTCGGACGTCCCTAATTTGATTTGACTTGATTTGTTGAAAACTAGTAATTTGAAGGTTTAAAGATTTTTCGAGGTTTGATCGTAGTTTGACTTTATGGCTATCGGGTTCGGGTTCGAATTTCGGTTCCGAAATTTGGTATAGGTTCATTTTACTATTTAAGAGTTGTATGCAAATTTTGGTGCAAAACGGAGTTGATTTGATAGGATTCGGACGCTTCATTGTGAATTTGGAAGTTCTTGAGTTTCTTTGAAAATTCCATGCATGTTGATATCCAATTGTAGTTCTAGGTGTTATTTTGGTGTTTTGATCGGGCGAGAAAATTCGTATGATGTTATTACACTTGTGTGCATGTTTGGTTTGGAACCCGAGGGGCACAGATGAGTTTCGGATGAGTTTGAATAGTGAAAGGTTGCTGGTGCAATGCCAGATCTGGTGTCTGATGCAGATCTCACATTTGCAAGCCTCGCTTTTGCTAATAAATGTTCGCATTTGCGAGCGGAGCCTTGGATTGGGTAACCTCGCATTTGCGAGGAAAATGTTCGCAATTACGAACCGCTCAGGATCGCTTTTGCGATCACACGGTCGCATTTGCGATGCTTGGCAACAGAAGGGCATCTTCACATTTGCGAAGATTTTGGCGTCAATTGCGAAGGTGGGAACTTCGCATTTGCGATATCTTTTTCGCAATTGCGACATCTAGGCTTCTGTGACAGGGTTTGCATTTGCGACCCTTCTCTCGCATTTGCGATGTTCGCGATTGTGAACAAGACTTCACAATTGCGACATATGCAGCTTGATAAAAGAAAATCGGGACTTAGCTCATTTTACACCATTTCTCAACCCTAAACACTTTAGAGTTGATTTTCCAAGAGAATTTCCTTCCCAAAAGGTAAGCAACTTTAATCCATTTCTATTCAATTACCTATTACTTTTCATGTGTTTTAAATATCAAATCTAGGATTTCCATGGTAGAAATTAAGAATTTGGGTAGAAATTGGGGATGTTGTAAAATTGAAATTTAGACCTCAAATTGAGGTAGGATTTCGAAACAAATTACATAACCGGCTCGGGGATGAATGGGTAATCGGATTTTAGTCTGAAGCTCGAGTTTTGACCAAGCAGGCCCGGGGTTGACTTTTGTTGACATTTTAAAAAATGATCAAATTTGAACCTTTTTCATTGATGAGTAGTTTCTAAAGCTTATTTTGAATCGTTTGATCGATAATTTGCTAGTTTTGGTTGGTTTGGAGGCTTGTTCAAAAGGCAAACCCGTGGTTGATTGATTTCTTTGATTGCGGAGCGAGATAAGTGTCGCGATTAACCTTAACTTGAGGTATTAGGACTTGTTGGTCTATTTGCTACGTGTTTTTAAGTGTAGGGACATCGTATATGTGAGGTGACGACTACCTATGCGTTGTCATTAGGTTAAAGCATGCGGGTGGAAATTACTTTTTTGTATTATATTGTTTCGTTAATTATGTTATCCATGATTATGTTAGATTATTACTTCTCTTAATTATTCGTTTCGTATTTATTGCTTATTTTAAAGATGCTGAATATTTTTGAAGTTGAAGTTTGATATCATGGCACCATATTTGAAGCGAAATTATTCTCCGCCTTATTTTTATTATTCAGATTTATATTGTTGCTTGGTGAGGAAGAGAAAAAAACACAAAGGGTGTTGCCGTGCCTTATTTACATTCATTATCACATATTGAGAGATTTGAGATAAAAGCACGACGGCTGATGCCATGCCGGTGAGTAAATGCACGAAGGGTGATGTCGTGCCATTATATTCATGATATTACATGGTGAGGACGAGAATAAAAGCACGAAGGGTGATGCCGTGCCATTTTCATATCCTTGTTCTATTTAATTTCCGGTTTTGGTGATTTACTTAGTTATATTGTCGCTTAATTCGGAAGGTGTTATTTCGTGATTTTGTAATTTTCTTTTTATAATATTTTCCCCTTTGGGTCGGTTGTAGTGCTTAGAGGTGTATCGGTCGCAGCAGTGCTTAGAGGTGCGTCGACTCGAGGTAGATCTGCTGGCGTTCGCAGCCTTGAAGTCCCCTTTCATTTTCTACTTTTACTGTTTATCTCTTTCGAAGAGTTGTATTTATTTCAAACTATGTTTGTAGACTTCTAGTTGCTCGTGTACTCGTGATTCCGAATTTCTGGGAGTAGTTAGTATCAGGTCATGGCATTAATCAACCAGTTTTGCCTTCCAATTCATTTTCTCACGTGCGCGATCGAGGTCACTCCCTTTTACTACCTCTTTACTAGCTCAATAAAGAACAACTATACATAAAGTGGAAAATAACGTTCTTCCTAATCCATATGGGACTTTTATGTTTCACATAAAACAAAAAAAATAAGAAGAAGAAAAAAAAGGACCCACAAAGAAATCTTTGACTTTACATTGCCAACTACAACAACAACAACAGCAACAACAATAACGATCCAGTAAAATCTCATAAGTGGGATCTGGGGACGGTAGTATGTACGCAGACCTCACCCCTACCACGAGGGAGTAGAGAGGTTGTTCCGATAGACCCTCGGCTCAGGAAGACGAAAAGAGAAAATATATTTGCATTGCCAACTATTAATATTTGGCCCAAAAACACTCCTATATAGCTTCTTCAATTCCTCGATACAGGGCAATGTGGTTTGGATGTGTATATAAAGAATTTATTTTTAGTTACTACGAAAAGTATCTAAAGATTAATAGTGAACTTCAATTGGACTTTCTCTGGAAGCAATAATGTATTGACCTAGTTAGAGTCACAAAGGAGTATATATGTAAATTGATCCCGTCGGATTAGTGACTTTTATTTTTTATTTTTAAGAAAATGTCTAGTCATTCATGAAAAACAAAATCGGATACCAAAACAAAGGATCCCATCACTTATATATTTGTCCCGTCACATGTTCCCTTTGTGCAGGAGATATATGTAGCGTTGTACAGCTCCACCAGCAACATACGTAGAGCCTAGAGGTTCAGTTATGAAGTTTTATTTATGTTCCTTACGCCTGCATGCTTAAGTTCAATTGGTTTTTTGGCTTTTTACAAACTTGTTTTTAGTTTTATGACCCTATCTCTTTTTTTACACATGGGAGATTTACTTTTACACGTAAGAAATATATCTTTTACACATAAGAGATCTAAAAAAGTCATTTCTTAAATTCAAAATTGTAAAGGGCCATGATGTACAAATAGCACCTTTTAAGTAAAAGTGCGAAACTGATTCACTTTCGTCCCTTTGTCAGCTTATATTGAAGAAGTAAACCAAAGCATTCATAAGCCGATTAACTCATTTCTTTGACATCTAACATCCTATAATACTCTTCTAAGTAAGCTTCCTTTCAGGCTCATATGCAGAAATGACACCCTGACCACCCGTAGAAACAAATTCTTAAAATATTTAATTCCAGATATGCTCAATCGAAGCACAGTATTATTGAGTAAAAAGCATTTTCTTTACAAGCTTTATTTTTTTTACAATATATTTGTATCACATACTACAAGGTGCTAGCATAATGTACCTGACCAATTAAGAGTGTTGAAGTCAGCGTGCCAAACTTGTAACTTCACATCTTCAATAGGAAGAAAGTGAAGGTGTGACTCTCCACAAAGCTCACAGCTCGATAACATTTGGTCTCAATACAATAGTGACCTCCTTAAAGATAGCAGATTCCAACTGTCCACTGAAAGATACCCACTTCCTTTGATTCCTTTAAGTTTCATTAGCCACAGGCTGCAGCCAGCAACTCTTGGTCATTCAAGTAGAAGGGCCATGTCCAAACTTAGCTACTTCGGCCTGATGTCAATTTACATTTAGCATTCATGTATAAAGGTGGAATCTCACATCCTAAAAAAAACAAAGCTGTTATTGTATCTGTTCAATTGCATTAGGACGTGAAGGAGAAGAGTTGGCACTCATTCTGCTGGGCGCTGGAGTATTTTCTCTTGACTGGCGCTTCGTTGGAACCAGCACAGTTCCATTACTCTCCAACTTATCGTCAAACTCCTCATCTTCATCTTCATCATCACCTTTAAAAACAGGGTGCAAATAAGCATTTTGAAGGTACGCTTTTAAGTTAAGATTCTGCTCTTTTGCTTGTTCTAAAGTATCTTTCCTTCTCGCTTCCTGAAATCCAAGTAAAGGAAGTTGTCATTTTAGAGAAAAATAAAAATTCAAGTTAAGGCTTAGTCTTAATATTCCATGTTACTGTACCTAGACCCCTTGCTAATGATATCTAGAAGTCATTTGAGATCAACACAAGCAAATCTTCATCTCGAAGAAAAAATACACATAGATGCAGCTGAACTAATACAACAACAACTAAGCCTCAATCCCAAACAAGTTAGTATCAGCTATATGATTCCCAAACAAGTTGCTGCAGCTATATATCATGCTTTCATTTAAGCTCAACAAGTCATGTCATCATCATACCAAAATAAAAATGATGTGGTTATTTTCAAGAACCTTGACGCCACAAGAAATTGTCATTATTACCTTTGCAAGTCAACAGCGGAACCAAGAGCCACATATATTGGGCACTACATTAGCAAATACTACTTTCTACAGAATATATAAGTCTCTTCTTTCTATTTTGGTGCTGACCAGGATACCCTCCAATTAAATTTCAAAATTAAAAAAAAAAAGATTATCAGAAACATCGTGAACTTAACAATAAAGGTGTTTAAAGATTCCTTAAAAAGTAATTAAGGACCGATTGATTCATTACCATAAATTTAAATTGGATCAGAGACTAAAAAATGTTGTTATGTTTAGAATGTCAAATGAAAATTGGTGAAGGGACACTCCTTAAAAAAGAGAGTCCAACAGAATAGGAAAAACAATTTGGCAATCAACTTTTGAAGTAAAAAAAAAACTAATTGTATAAAAATAATGCATTGGACTCAGATAATATTTCAAATAGGTAATAAACATTACAACTACATCTTTATATCAACTTCAGTAACATAACCTTCTCATATTTCTGTCATACAAGATAGAAGATGGTGCACGGAACTTTTGACTATTATAAAATCCTATTTCGGAGAAGAACATGAGAGGTCATCTTCAATCAATAAATTTTGTCCTTATGAGTCTTAAGATGATATGTACATCGCGTTACTGTGGAAAAGAGGCCTAAAATGCTTTTGAAATATCATATGTTTCCTAAAGGAACAGTAAGGATACCAGTAATTTTGATCTCAAATTTATTTCGGGACTTCCATTTAGCAGTATTAAGTCAAGTTTAAAATGCAGAGGACATATGAAGTTCAAGATCCACATGATATACATGTATATTTGAAGTAATAATGGAACATCTTCTTGTAAACTGCATGTTCTACACACCTGAAGTGGATATCTGGTGAAAGCTGGCTCGTAACGTCCTTTACAGAATTTGTGAAAAGAGATGGTCAGAACTGGAAGGGCGATAATGAAAGGTGCTGACTGAGCAGCTTGTTTTGTACTTAGCAACCCAAGTAAAGATAACTGAGAGAAGACCAGGGCGAATATTATACGTCCATGAACATCTGGCCAAAATGCTGCTCCACTTTCATACTTTTGATTGTATACATTTATAATCTGCATAACATGAAAAAGGAACCCATCAGAGAAGCCGAATAGACAGTGCTGATCACACTTAAGCATATAAGCCAGCAAACGCCTATAGTTAGATGCAGGTAGCAACCTCCAAGAAATATTACTAGGAGAATAGCAAACTCATCTTCAATCCAATCTTATTTGCTATTGTCATGCACAATCATCATAGAGAAACCAAGTAACCAGTACGCCCATAAAATAAAGACGCTCATAGAGATGGTGGACACTGCTCATCCCTCTATGTTAATTTTACAAATAGGTCAATAGGTCTGTTTACTAAAGATGCATCTGTCCCAACACGGATAGGAACTCGTCGCGTCACTCGAATGTCATATGTGTCTTCAGATTATTTAACAAGGACTCCAGTTGATACCATATATAAAAAAGCTTCATATTACCAGCATAATCTGAAAACCATGCATCCACTGGATAACTGAACATCAAAGCTGAGAGTGTTTGACCAATATTGTCCCTTATCTTTGAGGGTAGGTTTATTTTGGTCCCTCAAATATAAGTCTGAGCATATTTAGTCCCTTAAGTATGCTAAAGTGGAGCACCTTTAATCTCACTGACTGAATGTGTTCAAAAACTAACGGTGTTAACCAACTTTGATTCATGAAGCAAATCTTCAGCTCTAAAGCAAAAAGATTCCTCTCCTTTTATTGGATAACGCAAGTTATCACATTTATTCCTCATTTTTAGATAATGTCTTCTAAAATTTTGACCTTGAAAATATCCCCTTCTGTGCAAGTTTTTAATGAGAAAATGACACTGTATAGCTGTTGTAAAAATAATAGCCGAAATAATGTATAAAAATTATATATTATTTTGCATATATATACATTTATATGTTAATATACAAAATTATACAAATTTTATATACTTTTTTTTTTGGCTACCAGATGTAAATAGTTTCTGGCGCAGGCTAAAAGTGATAATACAATCTGGTTATTCGTTTTCTTCAATAATATACCTATAAGTGTCTTGGCAACTCTATTTTTTTTCCACATTTTAACTATTCTTTTTGGAAAAATCACCGAAATTTTTAAAGTGAAAGTTTCAACGTTAAAATCTTAAATCAGCTATGTACTATTAGTGGGTGTTGGTTTATAGAATATTTTCGATTAGTAAATTAAAAAGACGGTGAGTGCCGAAACCAACCACGTAATTGATCTTGGACAAATTCTGTCAGTGAGATTAAAGGTGCTCCACTTTAGCATACTTAAGGGACTAAATATGCCCAGGGTTATATTTGAGGGACCAAAATAGACCTACCCTTAAAGATAAGGGACAATTGGCCAAAAACTCTCAACGCTGACATGATTCTTGATTTGTCTAAGTTGGTATTAGAGGATACACAACTACTTTAAAAGATATCAAGTTTACATTAGCCTACATGTGTTACAAGTTGACTTTCATATGCATGTGAAACTCTTGAATTTTGACTCATTATAACTTCACTATCTAAAGAACAAAAAGCTTTATCAGTAAAGAAGACATAAAAAGCGAAAAGATAACCTGATGACGGAACACAATGAACGCCAGGCCAAAGAACACCAGTATGAAAGGAAGCAGAAATGGCGTGACCACAGCATAGACAAGGCCCAATAAGAAGTATAATTGTATCTGCGGTTCTCCAGTGTTGAAACCAAGGCTTCCAGCATTCATTGCCTTCTTTCTATCATTTTCAGTCTTGACCAAGAAAAAGTTCTTAAAGTGGAAGATTATTAGTGGCTTCAGCCTTAAGATCTCTCCAGCAATACCAGCCCATCCGTCAACCATTATGTAAGTTATGAAGAAAGTTGCTTTCATTGGGATAGCAACACCAATTGTTTTAGGAATTCTGCAGCAAAAGACAGAATCTTGTAGTGCTTAGGCAACATAATATTCAAGTAAAATGATAGAAAAGATCCGGAAATTGGAATAAGGAGAGCTAGTACTATCATGTATGTGTTAACACACTGCAACGTAAATGTCATAGCAGAATTCACAGGAATCAGGGGCCTTGAATAGATATTAGAGACATATTTCCTCATTGAAATGCTTGACGAGCTAAGACACAATGACAGTTGCTGCAATTTGTCTGCACATTGTATTAGCTAGTAAAAAAAAAGGATTCCTATTTTGCGCTTGTCCTTATTCATAACCATTGATTTCAAGGTTCTGCTTTCTAGTACTATATTAATTCAAGAGTGATACTGCGAGGTTTAATACAATAGTTTCTAGCTTGCTTGATGGAATTTATTCCTTTATAAAGAGAAATAAAGACTGATAAAAATGCAATAATGACACTTCAACTTACTCATTTGCTGACTGATGAAGAAAAGTTTTTAGCTGTTCGAATGCAGCTCCTGCAATTATGCTCCCAAGAAAGACATTCACAAAGTTAAAGATGTAGTATTTAGATGCAGATCTTCTTTCCAGAGCTGATATACTTTCCCATCCCTCAAATTTGGACATCAGCATCAGTATCCTCGGCAAAACTATGAGAAAGATCTTCAAAGCAATCCCAGGTAGAAAACCTTGGATGAATGACTTGACGAAAGGTCTGCACGACAGATTTGGTGGAATTATTAGTACAAAGACCTAAGCATAAAATGAACAACCATATATTTTACCGGGGGGGGGGGGGGGGGGGGGTAG